CATCCATCCATCCATCCATCCATCCATCTATCCATCTAGCAAACCCGCTTAGGTCGGGCTGCATATGATTTCGCGCCAGCCGGATCACCTATCCACATGCCTGTGTATCCATTTGTCTTTCTCTCGCCATTTGCATTCAGCCTGAATGTAGAGAAGGCGGCCGGGGTGGGGGGTGAATGGGTGGGCGGTATGGGAGGGGGTTTAGTCGGCACGAGGACAGGAGGGACTGACAAGAAACAGGGCGTCAAGCTGGTCTCAAGCCGAGGCCGGTATCACGCGATGCCGGTCTCTCGACTTGTGTAAATAGACCCGGACACGTCGAGTTCTTACTGCCTCTCTCTGTCGCACCGATTCATTGTCTCTCGCCTTCGTCATGTCGACTGGATTGTGGGCTCACGCCGAGTCGTCAGGCCACAGACCAGAGGCCGGGATCACCTCGCCCTGCTCGATTCCACGTCGTGACTAGCACGTGTTTTTCAGCCAATACACCCTCCCATCCCGTTCCGTTTATCTCAACGTATCTCCAGTTCTATCTGTTTGTGTGTGTGTGAGTGTGCATATATGAGCTAGAGCCGGTGTGTTTGTCCGAGTCCTGTCTATTGGCGGATGGAGCTGGTGGGACGAATCGGTTGGCGCGGCGGGAGGGGATTGGCGGGAATTGGGTCGAGTGACAGTCCCCCATCGGCCGGTTCAAGGCCGGACGGGGTGGAGTGGAGTTGGGTGAAGCCGGCGACTGCGTGCCTCGTGGGCGCCTGTGGAGCGAGGAGGGTGTTGAGAGGCTGGAGGAAAGGGGGAGTAGGGAAGCGGGCACTGATAACCTTGAACTGATTACGCAATCCCGAAGGACAGATGACCTCGTCTCTCGGACAGCCTCTGCCCGACCGGAAGGGGGGTGTCACGACCCGATGCACGGCACGCTTTACTGCAATTTATCATTTATCATTTTATCCCTTTCATTTGTCCCACTGACACACCGACTCGCCTGCCTCACCTCGCTTTCCCTGCCTCTCTCTCTCTCTCTCTCTCTGACCCTCGAACATATACACACACACACACACACACACAACCACACACATTCATCCCCGGGACATACACCTCTTGTTTGCGCAGGGAGACGAGAAATGGCCTTCTTTTCTGCTATCTGAGGCTGAATCTGGACTGGGTTACTGCGCCGACCAGGTAGCGAGGCAGAAAAAGCAAGGCAACAAGCTCGAATTTGCGGAAGAAGTGGTGCGTGGTGTGGATTGTGTGGGTGTGTGTGGATTGTGTGGATGGTGTGGCCAGACTGCGGTACATACTTCAGACCCGACCTTGACATTTCATGTGTCCAGATTGCGCGGCGAGCTGGT